TCCCTTCAAATAGAGAACAATCTCTCAATAGAAAAGAAAGCATTCCGTCTTATTGTGGAACGGCAAAGAACGAGTTCCTTCAGACTGAGAGTGTTTCTTCTTGAACATGAGCGCATTCACTAGCAAAAGGAACGCATTCTTGACATAGAAAAAAGGTTTCCATATTTTTATGAAACCATTCTGTTCCGTTTTTTTTCAAAATATTTTTCACTGGGTATATCTATCTATCTCTATATCTCACTCTAGGACATAATACAGTTTCAGGGGACATTCTCCGAAGACATGTAATCATACTCACACTCATGGATTATGGATCTGAAATTGACCTATAATCTCTGTTTTAACAAGAATTCTAACTCTGTTTTTGTCGCTGAACATGATTCTGTTATCTAACTTTGGTAAAAGATAGAATTCCAGTAGAAAAACTGTAATTATTTTAGTGACATGTCAGCTTTTCTAAAACATACCTCATTACATTCTGAGATCTGTTTTGATCTATTCTGAAAACTTTCATTTAATGTCCTATATACCATTCGATCCAGAACTGATTGATGTACATTGGAGATTAAAAAAATTCATGGGGTCTCTAAAATGGCATGTCAGAATATCCAGAATACTCAAGACCCATAACTTTTGAAGTATTTGATGCTTAGCGAGCAAGCATAACATGATATTGGTCCAAAATAACACTGTTTGCAGATCTTCGTTTCCTCTATCGAATGACATGTTAACCAGCTCTGTTAGACTTACGATAAAAAAATCGATTCAATAATAGAAATGATTTAACAAGTGCCGACCATAGTGGATACTATAGCAAACTCTCTCTGAAATGCAGGACCATAGTAACTTAAATGCTAGCTATGACAGGGGTTTCAATCTCGAAAATCTATTTTATCGACTAGTCGCTCACTGTGGCTCACATCCACCCTCATAATAGAGTTCAAAAAGTTGCAGAAAAAAAAATATTTGTCTTCGAATAATTTTCTGGAAGGTTGTTTATGAAAAGTTGGAATTTTTTCATTAAAAATAAAAAGAACAGCTAAAAGACAGATGCTTTTACTGAGTCCGTTAAGCTCTATTAGATCGAGCATAAAGCCTGAAAAAAAAAACAAATTTACTTCAATTTTCATTTTTTACATGTTGTATGAAACCTTGACGAAGCAATGTTACTCTTTTCATCAACACTTGTTCTCTCTTGTTTGCTTTGTAAATCATAAATGAACGCAAAAGCTACAAAATTGATTACATTGTTTCTTGCCACAAGAAAACGAAAACAGTATTTTTTAAATACAATTGAAGGAAAGAAAAATATTTTCGTTTTAGATATGCACTAGTGGCTATTGTTACGTTTCTTCCACATTCCAAAAATCTTAAGGATTAAATTTGTAAAAGAAGTTCATCACGCATAAACACCTATTTGTTGATTCTTAACTCAATATTTTGGTCTTAAACTTCTACTATGAACATGTTTCACATCTAAATATTTATATATTTTTGGAAGGTAATGGCCTGAAATCGATATTGAAAAATTCTATTGTAAATAAATTTTATTTACATGTAAAGCTTATTAGTACTTAATATTCTAATTTTTTATAAATGATGTTTGAATTTCGTTTTGACAAGCATATTTATTTATGTATTTAAAAATTTGGCACAGAAAAACAAATCGAGTGATAAATATGCAGATGATCTTATTTATATGATATAAGAAGATATTTTCTTCTATTATAAACTGCGTTGTATTAGAATTAAGTTTCAAAACTAATTTACAATGAAATTCATTAAATGAATAATCTATATTTGACTCAATGAAGACAATAAAAACAATAAACAACTTCATGTATCTACGAATCTGTTATTTGACAGAACAAGTATGAATGAAAAACTTTTTGAAAAGAAAAATATTGTTATTATATTTTCTGTAAAAGTTCAATAATGCATAATTATGTCATTTTTATTTAAAAAAAAAAACTTATTTATAGCTTTGTTTTGGATCTATAAATTATCATTTTTTCTAATTATTTTATATTATAATAAACATGTGCAGTATTTTCTTCTAAAAGATATTCTGTTTAATGATGATAGAATGTACTATTCTTCGTATGATATAAACATGTTCAATGTTATCAAGTTTTATTTATAGTAAAGCTTCATAATAATATCATTGCGTCGTTGGTATAGAATTTGTTCATGAGTAATTTGGATCCATCTAATCAATCATAAAATACGATAGCAATAAGGAAAATATCCTATACAAGTAGTTCATACTGCAACACAATTAGCGATAATATTTCTACATTTCTTTAAAAAAGAGTGAGAAACATTAGAAAGGAAGTTTTGAGAACAAGGACGGAACAATACATACATATATATATATAGGCATTATTTATCTCTGTAAAACATGGTGTCTCCAATGGATTGTATTGTTCTTTTTCTCTCGTCATACCGTATTATTGTATATCGCTTCTATTCTTTTTTTTTTTTGCTGTGATTTTATATTTTTTTAATTCAATTCAATACTTGTATTGAAGGTTCTGAAGCTCATTTTTCCCATCAGAACGGATATGTTCCTAGAACTACAAAATAAAAAAATTCTCTCGTTCTGGAATTTTTCCACTCAATCAGTAAAGCAAATTGTTTATTAAATAATATAAAATACACATAATCATGATATTCTGTAGACTCAGATATCTATGATATCCCTTGATTTTTTTACTGTGCCAAGATGCTGGCATTATCTTTATTATTTAGTACATCTACATGATCTACTTGTTCAATAAGTAAGCACCCATATCAGTCAGCACAATATTGTGTAGCGTACATTGCGCTGGCACAATGTTCGTTCGTGTAGCACATGTGATAAATCAACTTAGTGGTATAAAATTCAACCAATCAGTATATATATGAAGAGTAAAGTGTTTTTTCTGAGTCATATCTCCTAAAATCATCATTGTGTGTAGTAGATAGTTGTTAATTTTTTATTTTCGAATACTATTTATCTTTTATTCATCATAGTTTTTTGAAGCTTTGAAAATTATTTTTATTCCAAATAAGCTGTAACAATTTTAGATGAAACGAATTTGTTATTTTGCAATTAAAAGAGCAGCTTTTTTTTAAAGAAAGTTATATTCCTGTTAATTTAAAATTTCTTTTGTTCGTATATTGCTAAAAATATGTATTTTTCTTTTAAATACAACCATTGCTAGTTTATTTCTGTTATATGTCTCTTTAATCCTTCAACTTATTATTTATACGTATACATGTTTCGTTTAAGTTCTTTTTTGCATGTAAATTTCTTGTTTCTTTTTGTAAGAACAATTGTTATAGTTCGATCAATATGCAAGTTAATGGAGCTCAATGTTATACTTTACTTTTGCTACGTATGAATTATCATTATCGATATTTTCTTTCATTTAACATGTGTAATTTGTAAATAAGTACATAGAATTTGGCTATTCTTTTTTATGAAACACAGCTATTTTCATTTATAAGCGTTTTTGTAATTAATAAAAGTTAGTCGAGTGAAAAAAAGTTGAGCATCACTCTTTTAACTTATTGCTAGAAGATTGTTTTTAAAAGAGGAGCCAACCGGAATATACGCCAAACAGAATATAGAATCGGCATACGGCTGACATGCACACAAAAGAACAAAAAACAAGATTTTCTTAGTTAATTCTTTGTTTTAATTTCTATGTCAAATATGGAAATCATCAACATCAGCTATGAGGTGTTGGCATTAATTACCAAAAAAATAAATAAAACTAGTCTGTCTTTGATTGTTTATATTTTCTATGAAGTATTAAAAGAGATTTTTTTTTTTTGTATTTTGAAAATAATAATAATATTTCGATTTTTCTTTTTATTCTTTTACTTTGAGAAATGATTAAAAAAAAATTAGAAACATTTATTATATTCAAATATATTCACGAAGTTTTCTTGTTATTTGTGACTCTCTGAAGTACTTACCAATAGAGCGAGAATAGAGATGAATATAAAAAATATAATTACATAATGTGAATGAAACACACTATCATCAAAACACGAACCAGTAGCGACTATCAAGTGAGTGTTCATCTTAAGACTATAGCAGGCACCAGAGATGGGACCGGTTCGGTTAAAAACCGAACCGAACCGACCGACCGTAACCGAAATCGGTTCGGTTGGAGATTTTTAGAGAATTCGGTCGGTTACGTTCGGTTCGGTTAGATACTTTTTCGGTTACGGTCGGTTCGGTTAGAAATTTTAAAAAATTCGGTCGGTTATGTTCGGTTCGGTTAGAAAGAATCAACATAATCGTTTCATTTGAGTTCAATGGACTTTTTCAGTGAAACATAAGAAGAAAAAAGAATATAATCGTACAACAACTAGCTGTTGCTCGCAACGCGGATTATCTCACATATTTTTAAAATTTGCCCTGAGAGGTAAGGAAGTTATAATACAGTAAGAAGATCCAATAAATAATCTTTATTCTTTGCCTTCTCTAAGTGTTCATTATTTTTAGTTGCTATTATTTGATTTGTTGTTGCTAATTTATAAAGCACTAATACCCTAACTAAAATAAGCTAAACTTCGCTTTCTCTAAACTCGGTTCGATTACGAAATTTTTGAAATTCGGTCGGTTACGGTCGGTTCGGTTAGAAATTTTTAAATATTCGGTCGGTTACATTCGGTTCGGTTAGAGATTTTTTCGGTTACGGTCGGTTCGGTTAGAAATTTTAAAAAATTCGGTCGGTTACGTTCGGTTAGGTTAGAGATTTTTTCGGTTACGGTCGGTTCGGTTTGGCAAAAATGCCAACCGATCCCACCTCTGGCAGGCACTGAAGAAAATAGGGAAGAAAGATTTCAATAAAAAAAAAAAGGAAGAAGAGTGACTATCTATGCTATAAATGATTGTCATCATTTAAATATGTACACAGTAGAAGTCCTTTTGAGATGTTGAGAAATGTCTTTTGTAACTATTGTTTCAAAATAGTTGCCTATTTCAAGGTTATCAAACCGTCCGATTTGTCCAGAAGAACTCTACTTTTGTTGTCTTTCTCTAGATGAAAATGTAACTCATTGACAAAGATTAGTTGAATTAGTTTTTTTTCTATATCGATCGCAAACACCTTTTGTAAATTTATTTTTTATTCATGTGAAATTATTTGAATAATCATATCTGAATCAAAATGAAAAATGATTGTTTATGCGTTGATTTAAAAATTAAGATAAACACTTATTTTTTGTTCAAGCAAATTCGGTTATCAGAAAAATACTCTTTTATTGAAAAAAAGTAATACATCATACAGTCACTAGCTTATGTTTTCAGTTTATTTTAATCCATATTAGCTTATAACTTTATTAATTTGTTTTATACATTTTCATGGCTCTAATATCGTATGTCAACAAAATTTACTATATTTGTTTATTAAAAGACAGTTAAGAGCGCCTCTGCGAACGAAAATAAAAGATTTTTCTTCGGAAGATACTACTAACGTAAGTACTTTTTGATTTTTTGAAACAATCACCCAATTTTTCTTCTGATTATAAAAAAAAGTCCTAAGAAACTTCTGATTTCGAAAATAGCAATTAGATAACTCTGATCTCTCTCGTTTAAATGTGAACTGGATTATTATACAATATAAAATAAAATAATTTAATATTTGACAAGTAATAAGTCCTATCATACGTGAAGCCTTGCAACAACTAAATCTTATGTAAGCATTTTATTGCTATTATTAAAAAATAGTCAACTCGTTAATCAAGAACGAAATTCAAAGTTGTCTAGTCATTTAATTTGTAATTGTTCTAAATTAACATTATTACTTTTTTTTTATTGTTTTGTGAACTGTTAGTATGACTTGTTAGTTAAATACAATTCTGATTCTAATTATTTATTTATGTTATCATAATAAAAGTTGTATTATATAACAGAATTCTGAAAATTTGGTTGAAATGCTTGTTGGATTCTGATCTTACTAAGGCTTAAGAAAGTGTGAAGTTCGATTGAAAAGACTCTGATCCAAAGATCTTTATTCCATATTTGTTGTGACGTCATTCGACAATTTTATCGAGATGTTTGTTTTTAGAACTATAATAGCCCTTCTATATCGACGTTCAAAAGATGATACTTAAAATAATCTAATTCTAAAAAATTCATTTGAAATTTTATGAAAAGCATTTCTCTAGCTTGGTTTTTTTATTTATAAAAAACAACTGTTTCTCATTCCATTCGGTTTAATTTGATGATTTCATACGTAAATAGTCATTTTTTTTTCAGAATTGAAGATTAAAGATGGCAAGTGTCTGTAATACACACAGTGTAGTTCCTGATGCTGTCGTACCCGATGGTGATTGAGGATGGATTATTGTATTTGGATCTTTTATGTTAAATTGTATCATGGTTGGGTTAGTAAATAATTTTCTGTCAATCATAATCTCATTTTAAAAAATTATAGAATAACATACTCAATGGGTGATGTATTTTTACGTCCTATGATGAATAATTTAAATAAAAGTCGAGGATCTGTTTCAGCTATTTTTGGAATTTTATCAGCAGTGTCTCTTGTAACAGGTGAAAAATTTTGTCTTTGAAAATGAGATTTATATGTAATAGTAAATTTTTAGGATCTATTGCAACCATATTTACAAATGCATATGGTTGTCGAAAAGTTACTATAAGTGGGACTTGCTTAGCTACTACCGGTTTTTTAACAAGTTATTTTTGGGCAAATCTTTGGCTTTATTATCTAACAATTGATATTACTGGAGGTATGTTTTAAAAGAAATTCTTGTACTTTCATTATTGTAAATCGGTATGTCAATAGGTATTGGTTTTGGTTTAATATATTTACCAGCTATTGTTTCTGTTAGTTTCTATTTTGAAAAAAAAACGTTCTTTTGCTATGGGTATTGCGATTTGTGGTTCAGGTTTGGGTACAATGATATTTCCAGCTGTCATGCCATATATTATCAATGCACCATTGTGGTTTGATTATGAAGAAGCTCTTCTACTTGAAGCAGCCATTATCTTTACTTGTCTTATATTTGGTACTTTAATGGTTTTGCTTATTTCGATACAAAGAAAACTTTAAAAATTTAGCGTCTTTTTAGATTCCTTTACCACAAGAACCAAGTGAAATAAGACGTGTAGAAAGAAAAGCACAAGCAGCAGCTAAACAACAAATATTCAAAACAGGAAATGCAACTAATCAAAATGATAAACAACAAAAACAATTACTTCTAACGAATCAAAAAAGGTTTGAAATTTAGATTTATTATTTTGATTAAATATTTGAATGAAAAAAAAAAACATTCTGTTTTTAGTTCTTTATTTGTCTAAATCATAGTTGATGAGAATATTTTTAACAATAATCAATTCTATAAATTACATTCTATAAGATAGAAGAAGTCTTAGATATGCATTTTTATCTTTTAAAAAAGAAGAATTAAAATGAAAACAAAGATTTGATTGAGGATGATAATATGTTTTTCGGGCGTATATTTCTAATTTTATTTAGTTGCAAAATGCTGTTAGTTTCTTGTTACAGATGATTCATCAATACTTTATATTTTTGATTTTAGTGATATTCCATCAGAAGAAGTAGATGCAGTTTCAAAAAAATCAACTATTGTTGTTTATGATGAACAAGAATGTCTATCTAATGATAAATGTCTAGTATTTCTATCAGATTTGAAGAAGAATAATCTTAACATTAATAATTCAATAGACGAAACTCATTCGAGATCTTATGAAAATGTATCTGAAATAGTAAAAACGAATGTACCAGTAGCAATTGCACGTAAAGATGCAATTTATCAAGGTCGTTTACATAATATACCTTTATATAATGAAAATACTGATGAATATCATCGTCAAATGATAAAAACAAGTCACACAATAAATAAAAAAAACTCAGAAAGTTGAAAAAAAATTATTTCTGACAAAAATAACTGAACAAATTGATCTTAATTTATTAAAAGATGCTGCATTTACTTTATTTGTTATATCGAATATTTTAACAAATCTTGGTTTTTATGTTCCATACAGTTTTGCTAATGATTTAGCTGCTGATGCTCAAGTAATTGAACATAAAAAACATTGGATTATAATGTCAATTGGTATACGTAATTGTTTTGGTCGAGTTATTATCGGTTATTTAGCTGATCGATCATGGGTAAAACAAAAATAATTTTTTCTATATATAATCTATTCGTTTTTCTTTTATATTTTTAGGTCAATCGTTTAATATTATATAATATAACATTAATAAGTGGTGGTATAGTAACAATGTGTGCACCATTTTGTAATTCTTTTGTTCAAACACATGTGATATATGCTGGATTATTTGGATTTTTTTCTGGTGGTTATGTTGATTTAAATAGATGGAAAATGATGATTATTTTAGACAAATTTATTTTTATTTGTTAGTAAATAATAAGACGATTGTCTTTACATTTATTTTGAAATGTGTGTATGAGAATATTTATTCACATAAATAAATATTGATCATTCATCTTTTTTCAAGTTCTTCTTTCTCTGCTTTGTTTTCTTTGATTTGGAATGAAAATGATCAAATCTGCTTCTAATCTTCAAATATAAAATTTGTCATTGTTTGTTTTCTTAGTAGTTAATGCTACATTATATCTTAAGATGTCGGTAAACAGAACTCGAATTCTCACGGATACGTACACCTTCACCTAGGCATGCACGAAAACTCAAACTTAAACTTAATACTCAAAGCAACAAAAAGAAAACGATTTAGGTCTAGTGCATGTCTACCTTCATCAATGTGAAAATAATCAATAATCCATTAAAATATTATTTCATTGATTATATTTTTTCGATTGTCAACGATGATTGTTATAAATTAATTTTGAATGCATTTCTTTTGAAGTCTAAAATCAAATTGATTTTTAATAATAATCTATTTATGGTTATACGTCATTTTATGTGATAAATATACAAATTTCGAAAAATCTTCTCCACCTAATAATGTACTAAATGCAAATCTATGCAAGAAAATAGTGATTAAAACTCTGCCTGATGCTAGAAATCCAAGAAGAATAATCAATGATTTCTCAGATCTTCACTATCACAAATATTTATCTTTATCGATTGGAAAAGATGATACTGACTCAAACCATTCTATTACAACAAACGAACACACACGAAATACGTCTACTTCTTAAAAGAACTCGGATATCATTGCTTACAAACAATGAAGCGAGAGCAGGAATTGGTGAGTTTTTCCTTCTGAAAAGTAGTCGCTTACAATGAAATCTATTAATGTGGAATGTCATGTTGAGATATTACCACTCATTCTCACCTATATCTTCTCAGCGTCTATACTGCCTTCTGTAAAACAGTCTAGTTGGATGTTAGAAAATAATATAAGATTCTCTTATCTGCACTTTCATTCATTAATTTATGTCTGTTATCTATAGAAAATTGTACTATCAGTTAAATGAATATTGACTACTTTTGTTGTAAATGAATTTATCACTTCGAGAAAAATCTTATGAAATTTTTATCAAACGAATTATATATCCAATCGTTATAACTCATTATTTCTTTTAATTGTGATCTTCAAAATATTTTAAGATGTTAAAAGATATTGAGGAAATAAAAATCTCGAAAAAAACAATTCGAAATTGTAAGAAAAAGAGAAGATTGTCTTCCATTCGAATATTCCAATTGTATTTTTCTATAATTACTTTATTGATGAATTATTTATTTAAAAAAGTTGGAGATGATCTGGACCAGATGCAATAACTGTAAATTCTCCTGTTTGATCTTGAGAAGTTGTTGTAACAAGCAAAATATATGGAGTATCGGCTTTGAGGTTATGTGATAATTTAAATTGATGATTACTATCAAACGTATTAATAGATGAAACTAAGTATAAACTTATATTCAAAGGATCGAATCCATTCATAAAAAGAGCAGCAAAAGTATTCATATTACTTCTACTTGTGAATGTGTAAAGACCTGATGTTTTAACAATGATATTAATTGTTTTATAGTATTTGGCTGATCCTGGAAGTGATGCACTGTTGATTGTTAATGCATTTGAATAATTAGAAAGAATAGAAATCGGTACAAATTCGGTTGTTGTTAATGTTGGTAGGAAGGCTGTTGTTGTTGTTATTGTTGGCAATGAAGATGCTAGAGAAAGGGATCATTTTAGTGACTACAAAAGATACAATTATATTACTTAAGAATGGTGGACATAATCGTTGATCAATCATCGATAATGGATAACAAAGAGGAGATGAATTACATCTAGGATGACGAACACATATATGATCAGTTGTTTCGCAAGTATCATCTGGTGATTGACATGGTTTTAATCGTGAACAAGTTAAATCAAGAATAGCACAAATACCAATATCATCAGAAAGTGATAATTGTAAACACCCACATCCATTATTTGATGAGCATAAATCATATTGAGACTTACCATGGCATGTTTGACCGTTAATATTAACAACTATCAAATATATTATTTTATTGAAATATATTAAAAAACAAAATGCAAACCTGTCAAGCTGAAATAGAATGATTCAATTTTTACAGAATTTAAAATATAGAAAAGATATTTTTTACCTTAGCAGAAGAAAAACAGAAGAATGAATTGATATTGAAACCATGGTGAACAATGGAATTGAATAAAAAATCAATGATAATAGCTTCCACTTTTATATTCAGTAGATCAATGTTCTCATATTTCTGTTTGCATTAATCTCGAAAAAGCCCTAATAATGAAGTTTTAATCAATTGAAAATCAATATTGAATTGACGACGTTCTTTATTCTGATGACCTGACAAAAAAAAACTGAATCAAGAAAAAATGACATGGCACATTTACTAAAAAAAATGCTTATCATGCCTATAAGGTAACATACTTTCTGAAAATTTTCTCGTCATAATGATGTATAGGTATATTGTATTTCTCTACAACGTCTTGGCAAGATCAGAGTGGATACGATAGTGAGGATATTTATTAGAGCGAAACTAATAATGAGAATGTACTAAGGTGAACATAATAGTGGTCCGTTTATGTTACGTTGTTCGCATTTAACAAGAAAAAATTTGAATGGATGAGTAGGTGAGCAATTAGAATTCTATATCGGTCCAGATAATTGTGTTTGCATGTTTATCTTTATGTTTTGACTTTGCATCAGGGTTCAGCTTTCGAGCATATGGATGAAATAAGTGCCATCTTTCTAATTTCGTTATTTAAATTTGACAAGTCAACATGTATGTTTTGCAAGAATATACTTTTCGTTTTTTTAATTTCTTTGGTTTAATTTAATTTTTTTTTGTGTTTTTTTGTTTTTTTCTAATTGAAAAAAGATATGAGTAATAGCAAGAAAGAGAAAGAATAGAAAAAATAATCAAGAAAGGAAATAGAGAATAAATAGGGTGTGGGTGGGTGTGGGTGTGGGGTGTGGGCGTGGGTGGGTGTGGGTGTGGGTGTGGGCGTGGGTGGGTGTGGGTGTGGGTGTGGGCGTGGGTGGGTGTGGGTGTGGGTG